GATTATCAGCCTTTTGAGGGCAGGTACTGATGTGAATGTACAGTATGTAAAATGCTATGTACATTGACGGCGCTATATGAATACCTATAACAAATAAATAAACGTGACTCAATGAGAAAAAAAAACTAAACAGTGTGGGCTATTGTATTATGACAGCAGCAGTAAGTGTGCCACTGTCAGAATACCCAAACAGTAACTGTAGTGGCTGCTGTCACGGTTAGGTTGAGAATTTCTAGCTCCTTTGACACAAGTCAATTGATAAATACATTTGTGTCAAATGGAGTCTTGCTTATGGGGATCTTTGAGTAGTGTATGGCCAGTTTATGCTGTGTAAAAATTTAGATCATTACGATTACATTTAGTTTCTACTTTTTTTTAGCATGGGTTAATTGTGTGGACAGGTAGTTTATTTGTATAATTGTTATTGCTGTAACACAGTTGATGTGCCATGCGCCCATGAACACTAGGGAGCTATGCACATTATTTTTTAAAATAAGCAAAATTAGAAAAGTAGAATCAGTTCTTTACAGACTGAACTGGTGTCTTTGATAAGTTGTTCTTGGAGATCTAATCGGTGCCTTGTGCCTCCACAGCAAATATCATGTGGTTTTAGAAATTAACTATGTTTTGCTATCTTCAAAAAAACTAAATTACAAAATGATAACAGAAAGTACTAAAAGAAAAATATAGAAATATCACATGGCTGAAAAGTTCATAGACCATCTAATAGCAGATCTATCTGAAATTACTTATATTTCAAAAGACCCATTGTTTACATATTGCATGAAGGAGCATGATAGTCTTGTTCTGCTGACCTTGTCACTTTCAGCTTTATCTGGAAATGTATCCTGTCCCTCTTGATATCCCTGCAGCATCCAGATTTTCTAAATATTACTCATTGTATCTAAGCCCCATGTATTTGTCTTCCATGCTCCCATCTCCTACCATAAAGGAGAACTATGGGGTTAGGGCTTTTCCCCATAGTTCTAAGGGTAACGGGAGGATACAAACTAGCGTCCTTCCGTCAATGAACTATGAGGATGAGTGAAAAGCACTCACCTCATAGTTCTCCTTTAAGCTGTTCGTGCACTGGTAGATTTTTGTAAGAATGTTCACATGAAATAATCTCTTCAGAACATTTGATAATGCCATTAGAGACTTAACGAATGTTGTTTGAAATTTAATTTGGTTCTAACATTTAATTTTAGATGAAAACTACAGCTGTTGTGGA